GACCTCTCCAAAGTGCTAAGGAGCAGTGATGTCCGTTTAAAGATTAAGGTGCATATGATCCAAGCCATGGTCTTTTCAGGTACTTGCTCTGTACCTGAAAGCTGCACAGAGACTAAGGATGGCAGAAGAATTAATGCCTTTGAGTTGTAATTATGTGCCTGAAAGCCGGACAGTGAGTAATTAGTGCTTTTGAGTTGTGGTAAAGAGGACTGAATGTCCCATAGACTGTCAAAAGGGCAAGCAAATATGTCTTGGAGAAGGTACAAACAGGGTGCTTCTTGGAGGCAAGAATGGTGAAGCTTCCTCTCTTATTGCTTTGGATATCTTAGGAGGGAGCCAGTCTGAAAAATGGACAGCCTGCTTGGAAAGCTGGAAGTTCATTTTTGATTGATTGATTGATTGATTGAGAGTGTGTGTGTGTACTGTCAAATCAAATCTGACTGGTATGGGAGGAGATTGCCCCTTTTTCTCCAGCAGAGCAGCTGGTGGATTTGAACCGCATGCCTCTGGGATATCAGTGCAGCTTCTTGCCACTAGGCCACCAGAGCTTCTTTGAAGGTTCATTGTTAAGATGACCCTTAACAAATGGGTTGATACAGTAACTGTTAACAGTAGCTTCAGATATATCAGAAGTGATGAAGATGACACAGTATAAGGGCAGGTTTTGGATCTATTGTTCAGAGTTTCCGTAAGTTGTAATTGACTCAACAGCACATAATAACAACAACAACATACTGACTTATCTACATGTATTTCTTTATGTTTAAACTTAAGTCCCATTATAAAGCAGAAATAGATTAGAAAAGACCATTGTCATTTAAGATTGAACACTTACAGGACAATGTCCAAAAAGCACAAATGAGTTAGAACTGTGTTCTGTGAAAAGAGGACATTAAAATGAAAAACATTATTGTTAAAACTAGAGAGAATGTGTATGTACTGATCAGTAGGTGAAAAGACCATGTTCAGGAATGATTACATTTACCAGTGGGTGTGGCTTAACTTAGACCATAAGAAAGCCAGATGTAGATGCTGGAACAAAGTATAAAAAGGTTGCAATAAGAAATAGACATGGAGGAAATGTACAACAAATGAATGGAAGTCCAACTTCTTTATAAACTTTCATTAAAATCTCAAAAGAAAATCCCCTGAAGTCTTCTTAGATGAGACATTGTAAGAAATAGCATTAATCAATTACAATTGATGTTATAAAAGGACGTGTAAATGAATTATTGAATATGAATTTTAAAATATCTAATTCCTATTAAAAACCCCAAATAAATGTTTTTAAAAACCACAAATAATACTTTAGCTTAAGTATTAAAAATGGTCTGCCTTGAGTATTATATGCTTTTTTAGAAATTATCTATATGGGATCAAACTAATAACAACTTAAAAAGATTATATAGGAAACTTAGGAGGTCTGGAGTTCATGTTAATGAGGGAGGAAAACCCAGAAAAGGCAGATGAAAATGACTACACACATCAGGGTCACTAAACAGGAGATGTAGCAGCTGCTGAATTGGTGTATGTTGGGCTGTGCATGTTCTCAACAGCAGAATTAATAAAATAAAGATAAAAATGATAGTAAAAGTCTGGTCAGGAAATAGAAGGTTAATAAGGAAAAAACTGTATTGTAAAGAGGAATACAGGTCTTTATTAATTTTAGTATTATTATTAAGGGAAAAACTATTGTAAAGAGGAATACAGGTCTTTTATTAATTTTAGTATTATAACTTTATGCTATAATTGGTGTCATGTTTAAAAGGACTTTAAAATTAACTACAGTGTAACTTTTATGCTTTATAGATTTGAATATGGAGGCCCAGAGACTTATGTGACTAGTCATGCACCTAGAAAAAAGGTCAAGATGATACTAAAATTCCAATCTAGTATTCTGTTTTTATGGCTTTAGAAATTGTTGTTAGATGCCTTTGAGTTGTGTGTGACCCATAGTGATGCTATGAACAACAGAGCTGAACCTCATCCTTCCTGTGCCATCCGTGTACTTCTGGTACACTAGGGCCCATTGCTGTAGTCACAGTGTCAGTCTACCTTGAGGGTCTTCTTTGCTGACCCTCTGTCTTTCTGAGCATCTTGTCCCATTCTAAGGAATAGCCCTCCTAGCAACATACCCGAAGTATATAAGACCAAGCTATGTCATCTTTCCCTCCAAAGAGCACTCTGGCTGCACCTTCTTCAAGACATAGTTGTTCTTCTTACAGTACCTGGGGTGTTCAGTACTCTTCTTCAACAGCACAGCTAAAGGCATCAATTCTTCTGTCATCCTTATTCATTGTCCAGTGTCAGATACATAGCAAGTAATCTGAACGACCATGGCCTGAATCAGACATGCTTTAGTCTTTAAACTGACATCATTATTCCAATAATTTGGAGAGGTCCTTGACTGCCGACTTTCCCAGTGCAATACTTCTGATTTCCTGACTGCTGGTACCAAGGATATTTGATTGTGGATCCAAGAAAGATGAAGTTGTTGACAGGACTATTTCTCTATCTGTCATGATGTTGCTTATTGGTCCAGTGGTGAAAAGTTTTGTATTCTTGATGCTGAGATGCAGTCCATATTGAAGGCTGTAGTCTTTGATCTTCTGAAAAAGTGCTTCAGGTCCTCCTCACTTTCAGCATACAAGGTTGTGTCATCTGTGTAACGCAAATTATTGATGAGTCTTTCTCTGATCTTGATGCCACATTCTTTTTCACAGTGCCCAGCTTCTTGAATAATTTACTCAGCATATGAGTGAATAGGTATGGAGAGAGAATACAACCCTGATGCACTCCCTTCTTAATTTTAAACCATGAAGTATTCCCTTGCTTGGCTTGTGCAATGGCATTTTGGTGTACATATAGGTTTTGCAGAAGAACAATTAAGTGCTCTGGGATTCCTATTCTTCTCAGTGTTAGCTGTAACTTGTTATGATCCACACAGTCAAATGCCTTTTCGTAATCAATAAAGCATAAATAGACATCTTTCTAGTATTCTTGATTTATTCAGCCAGGATCCATCTGACATTAGCAGTTGATATCCCTGATGCCATGGCCTCTTCTAAATCCTGATTGAACTTCTAGCAGTTCCCTACCTATGTCCTGTTCTGGATAGAACATTTCTTAATGATCTTCAGCAGTATTTTGCTTGTATGTCATATTATGGATATTGTTTGATAGTTTAGACATTCTGTTGGATTACTTTTCTTGGAAATGGGAACAAATATGGACCTCTTCCAATGCATTGACTAGACAGTTGTCCTCCAAATTTTCTGCCATAGATTGTTGAGTGCATCTAGGGCTGCATCTATTAATTGAAGCAAATCAATTGGTATCCCATCAATTCTAGGGGCCTTATTTTTGCCAGTGTCTTCAATGCACCTTCTACTTCCTCCTTCATTGCCATTGGTTCCTGCTTATATAGTATATCCTGAAATTATTCTTCATTTCTTTCAATGCATCTTCCTTCCTTTTCTAAAATTCTATGAGAATATTTTGAACACACCATTGAGTTTATAGGATTAAAAAAATAACTATCCTTATGCCGACCACCTGGATCAGCTCCTACTTACTACCTAATGGTTTGAGCATTGGGCTGCTATTTGAAAGATCAGCATTTTGAACTCACCAGCCACTCCACAGGACAAAAAAGAAGCAATCTCCTTCTGTTAGAAACTCAGTGGAGGGTCACTACAGTTGGAATTGATTTGATGATATTAGATTGGGTTTAATTTAATCCTACCGTATCTACTCCCCATCTCATGTTAATTTAACAAATCTCGAACTTTGAACAGTTTCTTCTATGTATTTCATTATGTGTTTCATAAGTGGAAGGAGTCTCCTTTTGAAAAGTAACATGACTGGGCTGTGGTTAGTGCACTGAATGTAATGATCTATTTATTAGTATGATTAATAAAATAATAAGAGTGATGCTTCATATGAGATATTTTCAGCGATGGCATATAGTCCAGTTAACAATAATTCTTTAATATTGTCACATATCCAGTCTGTTTTCAAATTTCCTTTTACAGCTTGCTGGTTCTTGCCACTGTGCCTTTACCTATGCTGCTCCCTTTGGAGGCAGTGTTTGTTTTCATGCCTAAAATATAAAACGATCCATCCACTGATTACCTTCCCTTTCCCCTTGCCATTTATTCCTTCGACTGTGTCTTATTTTTGTAAAATATTTTTCCACTTGCAGCATATAGTATGAACTGAACTCTTTTATGCCTTACGAGTTTCTGTGTGTGCTGTCTTCTTGTCTGAAACAAACTTTAAATTTTTTTTTCTTCCTGGCTCCCTGATCTAACTGTCCCTGTTATAATCTTTGACTGTATCCTTTACTTTTCTTAATAAATGGACTATAATTTGTAGTTATATACTTATTCTGTTATTAGCCTGTTTTCTGTCTTTTTAGTGCTAGAAACTCTCTGTAGTGAGGTAGCTTTGTTTAGTTTACCACATTACCTAGTGCCTGTCTGTGTGTCTGGCATGCACCGAACCCCTGCCGCTCCCTGACTCCTAGAAGTCGTCCTTTGGGCTGCAAATACTGTAAATTTTTATGGGAAAAGACTTCACATCTTTTTTTCCACAGGGCCACTGGTGGGTTCGTACTGTGGGTTACAGTTGTCTGCCTGATATGTTATGCACTACATCACCAATCATAGGTAGCCACTAAATCGATACTGGCACGTGCAGTAAAATGTCTATTGCACTGTAAATGTATATTTTTATTAAGGTCAAAATAATAATATTCCTATTCATAGAACAATAATATTCCTATTCATAGAATAAGCTTAAATAATTATGTCTGAAAATAACACTTCAAAGTCTGCCATTTAAGAGAAAAAGCTAAGCAACTAGAAAATTTTCTAAATTTCATGCATTTTGATTATTAAAGTATGGTGAGATCTAAAGTTTTTATAAAGTGTCAAATTAGTCTTGTCTGTGAGTAAAGGTTAAATATTTTCCATTATTTAATATTTCTATTGTTTTAGATACTCAGGATGATGAAGTTGCTGAAAGTGTTTATAGAGATAGGAAGAGGTGGTTACCTTTGGAACACACTGTGGAACTGACAGAAGAGACATTTAACTCTACAGTAATGACCTCTGAGAGCATAGTGCTCTTCTATGCTGCTTGTGAGTATGAGCATTTAGAGGTGGCTGTGAGTCACAGCCGTCCTGAAGGCACCTTACATAATGAATCTATATGGACATTTAAAGTAGATATATTTTATTTTTGCATTTTATATATTACATGTTTATGTTATAAAATAATAACTTTCCATATGCCCCAGGTTGACTACAGAAATTCCACCTGATACAGGACTTTTAAAAAAATTATCTAGCTCTAATTTAAAAATTGGAAGTCAGTGATTACATGTTTAGCTAAATCATTTTGAAAAATGATGTTATATTTTGAAATAATTTTGAAAAATGATTGTAGTTCATTGGTAGAATTTTCAGCTGTCATGTAAAACCCTCGATTCTCAGGCAGTGGACTTCATGTGCAACCAGTTGTCCATTTTTCCAGGCTTGTGTGTGGCTATGATGCTGAAAAGTCTCAGGGAAACTTGCAGGCTAAAGTGGATTAGGAAGAAAAGTCTGACAACCCGCTTCCAAAGTGCAGCCAGTGAAAAAACTTATGCATCAAAATGTATCATGTTGCCGATAGGTCTGATTTGCAGCCGATTACAGGCATGGTTTAGGATGGGGCAGTGCCTTGCACTATTATATATAGACTCACAGTAAGTCGGGGACCAGCTCAGTGACAGCAAAGCACAGAACCACTGTCCCATGGATTATCTTCAAGTGATAGTTTTTCGATTCTATTTTTTGTTATATAAGTTAGTTTCATTTTGAACCATTTATATCCTTTTGGAAAAATATTGAGCATTAGTTATATGCTAGGATACCTTGTTTAAAGAAGTAGCAATTTTGGAAAAACCTCATAAATTCATCATTTATTAGATAAAAGCATCCATGCTTTAAAGCTATGCATATTATAAGATCTATTGATTTGTTTTATTTTAATGTAGGGGAAGCAGTATCCATGGCATTTCTGCAATCATACATTGATGTGGCAATTAAATTGAAAGGTATTGTATGCATAATTATTTTTACGGTTCCGAACCGTAGATATTTTTAAAGTGTTATAGAGTGTAAAGATCTAGAAATCCACTAAGTGTTTCAAGCTTTTATGGTTGCATCTCCAAGATGAATTTAATGACCTAAGAGTCTTAAAAATACTCAGAAGTATTTCCTTTGTCTCCATGAGCCAGACTATAGTAAAGAGAGAGTTCTTGTATCAAATGCTATCGCTACACAGTCAACCCGATAAGTAGCCATTTTGGCCAGATCTTCTCATTTAGCTCTAATTTAGTATATGCCTATTCTGTGTCAGTTACCATTTGCTTCTAGAAATGAAAAAATAAGACCCAATATTAGTAAAATTGTATAATTAGCTCCTCACAGATGAGGATATTTCTCAGTAGTCTTTGCTAGGATGACGTCATTGGCATTTTAAGGTAATGTCAATTCTTGTTTGATTTGTCTTTTTTCCCCCTTTTTTATTTGCCTCAAAATTACGTTTCATAAAATAAATTTCAAGTATCCAACCATATTTTATCTAACTTTCGATTATTCCATTACATTGTGGTGTGGTGCCATCAAGTTGAACGGGATTCATGTGACCCTGTAAACAACAGATCTGAATCCTGGAGCATTCTGGCTGTTTCTTCTCCAATACATATATGTTTGTTCTTTGGCAGTCCATGGTATATCCAGTACTCTTTTCCAACACCAAAACTCAAAGACATCAGTTCTTGTGTCAGCCTTATCCATTGTCCAGCCCTCAGATGCACAACAAGTGATTGAAATCACCATGGTCTGAATCAGGTGTACCTTAGTCCTCAAACTAGCATCATTGCTCCTTAATAGTTTGGAGAGATCTCTTAATGCAGTATAGGGATGATTAAGTCTTTAGATACTATAATCCTGAATCATTTTCAAGCCTTTTCTTTTAGAGCAATTCTTACTATCTTTTAGATTATCCTTTATGGATCCATTTAAGTTCCTTCTTTTGTGTTCTCTGGTTTGATTGGCAAGTTAGTAGAAGAAGGGGGAAAGGGTGAAAATATTAACCATAATGGAATAGTAATTGGATAATATCCTTGAATAATTGTGGTAAGAAGTTGCCCTGCCAGGCCATTTGTTTTGAATCCACTAGCTGTTCTGCAGGAGAAAAAGAGACAATCTTCTCCTGTGTAAATTACTGCCTCAGACAACCCATTGGAGGTTTAGCCATGAGTCAGTTTGGACAACAGTATATAATCACCATCACCACCTTCAGTTGTAAAATTAATTCTGTTTTCCTTGTCCCAGCTTATCAATTTGGCATTATGTTAAAAATACTTTATTATCTACTAAAGCTCAAACAACATAATTGTCTTTTTGCTGTCAAAGTGTTGAATCCACTTCCTAAATAATATGCCTCCTGAAACTCTATGAACTTTGATAAATGTCAATAGTTGTAGAGGGGCTTCAGGCCTTTTGTTCATGGGGTCGCTATGAGTCGTGCTCAACTTGAAGACCATCAACAACAACAACATGTTAAAAAGAATTTGTTTTCTACTAATGCTCAAACAATATAGTTATCTTTTTGTTGTGGAAGTGTTGAACTTTTCTATACATTTCAGATATTAGTCCCTTGTCAGTTAATATCATTGTCAAACTTTTTTCCTCAAAATCTTTAGGTTCTCTTTTTATTATTTTGGAGAAGTCTTTGATGTCCTGGGTCTTCTGAAAAATTTAATCCTTATGTGCATTCTTCAGTATATTTTTTTATGGATAACAATCCTTCCAATAATTAGTTATCAGATAATTGCACTATTTTGTAACTTCAAAGGATTTAATGTTAAAATACTTAGTAGAGGTAACTTAGTATATGTGAAGTCTGTCTCATAACTTTTTAAATTTGGAAAATACTCTAATGTTTTGGCAGTTAAAGCTGTAATCTGTGCTTTATGTTTCATTTCTTGAGGGGGGAAAAAGCCCTTTAAAAATAATAGTCCAGAATGATGATGATTATTTTACTTAGACACAAGGTGGCAGCAATGTCAAGTTTTTATATTTACATAGTGCCTCTCTAAGAAGAAACAGTGAAAGTTATATACAACTGTTCAGGTCTTTCGTTCATAGGGTCGCTGTGGGTCATCTACAGCTTGACAGCACTTGACAACAACAACATTGTTGTTGAATACCATCGAGTAAGAACAGACCCATACTTGACCCTCCTGCAGATTTTCTGAGGCAGTTAATTGCACGGAGGAGATTGCTCATCCTTCTCCCACGGAGCAGCTGGAGGATTTACACTGCATACCTTTTGGGATTACAGCACAGCTTCTTACCATTAGGCCATTAGGATCCCTATTTTAATTTACGGCTTTATTATACAAGAAAGAAAAAAAATTAAATCAATAATTTCAACATAAGTAGACTTTCAACATTTAATGATACCTCTGTTTCCAATTCTAAAGATAGCACTAAAGTTTTCAACTTGGACTTCAGGGACAAAGAAGAAATAAACATTTTTTAGCAGTGAAAAAGATGTGAGTGCTTTTGAAGGAAAAGAACAATTTGTAATAGTACTAAATTCCATAATTGTTTGGCAGTATATAATATTGCATTTTATATTAACAGTCATCATTAAATATGTATTGACTAAATTTTTAAAATAAAGGATAAGAGAGCTTTGTAGAGAAGTCATTTAGTATGTCTGTTTTGGAAGGAAATAAGTATTTCTCTATGTTTATAAAAAAGTAATACTCAAGTTTTAATACTCCTTAGTATGAAAATTTTGAATGAGTTTAGGAAAGAAGTATACATTCTGCACATTTCCGTTTAGTACACATAATTTTACAGACCTTATAGTACCATATCTACCTTATGGTAGACCCTATCTCCATATATTTTCAATCTATATTCTGCTGAAGATCATCCAAAAACGATTAGAACAGCACATCAGCAGAGAACTGCCGGAAGTCCAGGCTGGGTTTAGAAGGGGT